AAAAAAAAAAAGGAAAACCAGAAGGAGACTAAGGCAATGGCTGCGACATGAGGAGGTGGATGGGGATGGGCACCGCCACAGGGACACAGGCACTAGCCCCAGAGCCACCCAGTACCCGGCTTCCCAGCCTCCCTCACCCCGCTGGATCCTGCCCTGGCCCATGGCCCAGCTCAGCTCCAAATTCCAGGAGGCAATATTTCACCCCAGGGGGGCTCAGCTGGGGCTCCGCCATCCCCAAATGCCACCTCTCCCAGGGAGGATGGGGGAGAAAAGCGAGGGGGAAGAAGCAGCAGCAGCTGGAGGCAGCAAGTGGGATCCCTCCCTGAGGCTTCGGACGGAGATGCTCCAGCATTTGGGGAGCCCCTCCCGCACTTTGGGGACCCCCCCAACCCCACAGTGGGGAGGGCAGACGTGCTGCTGTGGCGATGGCAGCTGGGGAGGGGGGGGAAACAGCAGCTCACCCCCAGCTCCGTGGTGGCCACAGAGCTGCAGCCCTCAGGGTTGGGGGGGCAGGGGAGGTGGGGTGGTTTGGGTGGGTTTCTTCTTTTTAAAATTTGAGCTTCGTCCTCGGGAGCCACGCAGGCAGCAGTGGAGGGCAGGGGGGGCTAGTCAAAGCCGTGCCAGTCGCTCTGCTCCGAGTCGTACTCCAGCTCCGCGCCGATGCAGCGCACCCCGTCCAGGAGCATCGGCGTGCCGTGGTGCCGGTCTGCAGGAAAGGAAGGGACAGTGGGGATGAGGACAGAGACAGGGTGCAGCCACCTATGGCCTCAGGCTGGCCTGGCAGGGGGGCTTGCTTCACCTTTTTGAGCACTCTTTTAGGGGTGGCTCACAGGTTCTCTCACCCACAGTCCCCGCACAAGGGATGCCAGCACCCAGGGGGGTGGGAGATGCTGGGATGCTGCGCCCTGTCCTCAGATCACCACCTTGGGGAAGGTGCTCAGCTCCCAGTGTGCCCAGGCTCGGGCGCTGCAGTGCATGGGGCACTGGGGGACAGGCTGGGACACAGGGTGAGGACACAGCAAGGGGGATACCAAGGAACAAACCAGCAGCCCCACAGACCCCAGGACCAGCCATGTGGAAAATGCTGGTGAGAGCAGGCACCGCATCACACAAAGCGGAAGCAGCTGAGCTACGGAAACACTGCTCTAATTAGCAAACCCAAATTAAACAGCAAGGTGGGGGAGGGAGAAAAAAATTAAAATTAAAGAGTGCTGTGCTGCCAAACAAGCAGCGGTGTTTGGAAGAGTGGAGAACCCCAGTGGGCTTGACCACAGCCCCCAGGCTGGGATTAGGGTGAAGATGGGGGGGGCACAGGGTGTCCCTGACCCACCAGCTGCCAACCCCACTCCATGCACCCCTTCACAGGGAAGGGCCCTCGGCTGGGGATTTTTGGGGAGAAAGTCGTCCGGTTTAGACAATTTCTGGGAAGTGTCCACCAGGTGGGGAACGTCTGCAGCAGCTGGGCCAGGAAAGCTGGAGGGAGATGGGCCGGGGAGGGAGGGAGGATGGCGCAGGGTCCAGGGGTGCAGGAAGCATCCCTGGCTCCCCAGACACAGCAGAAAGCAGCCAGTCTCCAGCCAGGTCTGCAAGCTCCCCCTGCTACCACCGGCTGTGCCGGGGAGGAATCGCTGCTCTGAAACCCAAGGAACCGCGCGAGGCCCCCCACACTGCTGGCAGACCCTTACCCATGACACGGGCTTGTACCACCACCTTGACGCAGGCACCTTCACCAGTCTCGCTGGCCAGAACCATCTCCTCCTTCAGGACCCCCTCCTTGTGCGCCGTGTACTCGCACTTCACGCTGTAGCCTGGGGACAGAGACACCCTGGGAGATGGGCACCGGCTGCAAGAGCCGCCTGCACCTTCCCTATCCCACCCCGGGAGCCCTCCCTCACCCCAGGCACCCAGAGGCAGTGGAGCCTGGGGCACAGCTATCTAGTCCCATTCCCACCACCGAGGTGCTGGGACCCAGTCTTGCTGGGCTCCCTCCCCACCCCGTGCCTCAGTTTCTCCACCCATGAGGCAGAGATAAAGATGCTGAGCCATGGTGAAGCTCATAAAGCTCCACAGAGATTCAGACGAGGTTTTGGGGGATGCAGGACACTGCTTTTTCCCAGCACCAGGCTGAGGGCACCGCTGTGATGGTGCCCAGCATCCCCCAATGCCCCCAGCACCTCTGAGACCCACTCGTCCCCATCACCCAGGGGATGGGAGGTTTGCAGGACACCAGCACACAGCTTTGCACCCCCAGCCACAGCTGACGGGTGGATCCCACATCCCACCCAGTCCAAACCCCAACCCTCCACCCTACCCCGACCCTCCAGCCCCACACACAGCCCCAGCACATAACAACCGGTGCTGCCTGCAGTGCCCTGGCCAGGCAAACACCATGATCTCGCATCAACCAGGCACACCCGTGCCAAAATTGCCATGTCTCCCTCCTTGCAGAGCAAAGGGGACATATAAACACACCATGGAGCCCCCAGCTTGGAGGAGGTGAGGGCTGGTCCCAGCCCCATGCCCCCTCCCAGCGCAGGGACAGAGCTGGCAGGGCCAAGGGAGGCAGTTGCTTTTGATCCAGAGGAAAAAAAGCACAATGTAAAAAAATAAAGGAGAGGCGGAAAATTAAACCATGCTGTCCTTTCCACTGCAGAAAGGCATCAGTCAAACCCTGGTGGGGGGGAGACATGAGCTTGCTGTGAGCACACGGCCAGCACCCCCCCTCAGAGCTCACAGGGAGGCACCCTGACATGGCTGGCACAGGGGGGAGCTGCAACGGCACAAAAAAAAAAAAAAAAAAAAAAAACACGCTGAGCATCATGCAGGCTCCAGAGCACTCACAGCAGTCGGCTCCGTGAGCTCAGCCCTGGGGCTCAGGAACACTGGCCGCACACGGGGAGCACAGTGGAATGGAGGAGAGAAAACCATCTATGGGCACGATGAATCTTCCCTGACTGCTCCTCTAAGTCCCCGAGCTGGTGTGGGGCTCAGACCCTCAGTGAAGGGCTGAGGGGCCAGAGGGGAGCGGAGCCAGGAGCTGGAGGAAAGCCTGGGGCAGGGAAGCACTCTTTCTGCTCAAATCAGGCAGTTCCACCTTAAATGGGGATGAAAGGTTGTACCTGGAAGCAGGAGGGAAAAATGGTGGCAAAATCTCCTCCTGTGGTGGCAAAACCTCTTTCTTCCAAGTGCCAGGAGTCGCCTTATCTCCAGCCCACACTCACCCGGGGCCGCTTTGTCTCTGTGTCTGTGCCACATCACAGCCCCGCTGGCCGTCACCGCAGCCGGGAGCCAGACACCGTGCTCTGCCCAGGCTGGGCGGTCCTGGGACTGCCGGCAGCGCAGGAACAGGATTTGGCCCATGGCCAGGCAAACCTGGCAAGCTCCATCCCTGCCCACAGCCCAGGATGCGGGAAGCAGAGCCTCAAGGGGAGCCCCAGCTGCCACCAGGACCCCAAAGACCTGGGGCACAAACGCCTGTGAACCTCTACAAGGCACCAGACACCTCCAGGTCCCACTGGAGCTGCTCAGGATCCCCGAAGGACTCCTTTCCCCAAAGCCTTGGGAGCCCTGGCCCTGAGCCCGAGCTGGGCATGCCAGCCCGAGGTGGGAAGCTTCAAGCAAACAAAGCTTAAGTGCTTTGCTGGGCCAGGGCCAGCAGCAGCGCGGGAAGAGCCACAGCCCAGCCCTGCCAGCCACAGCCCCGCTCCCAGACCCCCAGAGAGATGGCGAGCGGCAGCCCCAGGGAGCTGGAGGGAACAGGAATGGGTGATAGAGCATCCACCAAAGCTTGTCAACCAGAGCTGCTGGCACAGGACCAGCCGAGGTGCCCCAAGGCGCTTTTCAACCCGCTGTGCCCTCAGGGCAGACCTCATGTCCCCAAAACAGCTGCCACCAAGCCCAGGGTGATGCTCAGCTGCCCCAGCCACCACACCAGGGCCACCGTGCACAGCCTGCTCCCTTCTCCCACCGACGGGCTGGCAGCAAACTGACCCCAGACCAGAGCCAGGCTGGTGCATGAGCCTGGTGCCTCTTGGAGCAAACCCTGTCCCCATCCTTGTCTCCATTCCCACCAGTCTGTGGGCTCTGCTTCACAAACCCACAGCCGCTCTTCTCCTCCCGCCTCCCAGACCAATCTGAACCCACAAGAAACAGCAGCTGATTGATGAACATTTGGGATAAAAGAGCATTTAACCTCCCAATTGCAGCTAATAAATTATGGAGAGACGTGGGTCCGCAGGGGATGGAGCAACAGCCGCTGGGCTGGCTGCAGGCTGTGAATCTACGCTGCCAGCGGGGATGGGAAAGATCAAGCAGGACTGGGGGAGCAGGAAGGGGATGGGGCAGAGCAGCCAGCGGGGCCCCCAGCCCTGCAGCCACCATGCCAGGGGCTGCCACGTGCCCAGCTCCCAGCGTGGGCTCAGATGGGGCTGAGCTGCTGCAGACACAGAACAAAGCAAAGCCCAGGTGGTTCCTCTGCGCAGAGCCACATCGGGTGCTTACGTTTCAGGACATTATTCTCCTTCCCTCCACAAGAGAATTAGCAAGAAGCCTGGAGACAGACGGAGAGGTGACCTCCCCTCGGCTCCAGCCTCTTCTTTAGGCAGACCCTCAGCGCAGGCAAAGAACAGACAGAGCAAGTGCTAAAAATACCAGCACGTCTGGACTCTGTTCAGCAGGTTCCTGGATTAAAATGCCACAAAAGCTGCTCTCCGAGAGCACGGGTCGGGGTCAGGCGTCTCCCAGGAGGCGCAGTGGAAACACAGATTCCTTCTCCATTCCTTCTCCAGTGCAGCGCTGCAGGGATGAGCGCCGGGATGCGGCCCCAGCAGAGGTACAGCCAGGACCAAATGCCCCCCTCTGCTAACAGCTGCAGCAGGACCTGTCCCCAAAGCCCCGCAGGATGGGGACAACCCAATCAGCCTGCCACACACTCCTGTGCTCAGGGGAAGGATGAGTCTTGGGCTTTGGAAAGCGCTTTGGAGGACACTCACTTTGAGTTCCCCCGAGGCAGGAAACACCCTAGCAATAAAAGCTGTCAACGTGAGCTTCTGGGGAGCTCTGGGCTCCCCAGGCAGGAGGAATCATCCCCAATGCCTGGCAAGGGCTCAACACAGATGGTCATGGGTGGTCCCAGGACCAGGGAGCTGCCAGCTACCCCCCACCCCATGGGAGCACTTGGTTTGTGCCCTCCATGGGACCCCAGCATGAGTCAGACAGCCTTGCCACCCCCATGGGCACTCAGGGGTACAACTGGGCCTGGCAGCCCCCCAGTCCAGGCAGTGTCCCCCCGGAACCTGGGCTGCCCGGTCCTGCAGGGACCTGTCCCCCCTGCAGGATCCGGGACCCAGCACAGCTGCAGCTGGGTGGACAAAGAGGGGACCTTACCTTCTGGTAGGGTGGTGACACTGATGACTCTGAGGTTAAGGTTGGGGAGAGGCACGGCACAGACGTCCTTCCCCAGCCTCTGCACCAAGGGCAGGAGGAACGTGATCTCGTACTTGTGGAGGATCTTCAGGAATCCCACCTGCAAGGGGGGGAACACAGTGGGGGTCACGCCATGCCTCGAGTAGGTGTTGAGCTGTGGCAGGAGGTGGTCCCACACTGCCATTGTCTCATCTGCCTCCACATCCCACCCTGGGGACAGGAACCCACCAGGCACTGGGCACCCAAGAGCCCACAGGAAGGTGGGTGGCAGCAGCTGGGGCGGGGGAGGGAGGGGGGGGACAGCTTCCTAAACAAATGGGGAAATGTAACAAACACGTTTTACATAGCCAAAATGGACAAGCAGCAAAAACATCCAGTTCTTGGGCAAAGCCCCAGGAATAACCACCCTTTAGAGTCATGGGAGCAGAGATCAATTTTTCCCGGCTGCTGTTTCTGGTCTCTAAAAGCCAAGACATTTCCAAGAGTGTGCCTGCGAACCTCATTTATCCACTACCATGATGAAAACCAGAGATCTTTTAGGAGCCAGCCGCCTCCAGAGCAGGGTCCATCTCCATCACGCTCAGCAAAAGCCATTTTGGGCAGGGAGCAGCAGGCTCCCCACCTGCTGCGAAGCTCCGGGCACACCGGCAAACCCTCCCTGCAGAGCCAGGATCTGTCCCAGCCGAGAAGACAATCCCCTCCTGGGGACAACGGGGCACCCAGTGCTCACCAGTTGCCACAAACCCCGCTGGTAGCAGGTTGAGCAAGCTCTGCCACGGGCATAGCTCAGCCAGGAACCATCGGTCTTCCATGCACACATGTGCAGCCCGCTCCAAGCTGCACCTCAGTCACTACATAAATACATATATAACACACACACACATATCTATCTATACACACACGGATATGAAATGCGTGCCATATGCTTGCACATTCCTGGCCACAAGCGGCTCCAAGGCATCACTGCAACAAGAAATGACAGTGAGCAGCTTTGGGGATTTTAAGATCGTGGAAAGACATTTGGTGGCCGGCCCCAAAGAGCCTCTTCTCTACCGGGGAGAGGATGGGGTGGTCTCCTCCTGCCTCTGAAACGTATGGTGGGGCACCGTGTGTGCCCCAAACCTGCCCAGTAGGAAGAGCTGCGTGGTTAAACACAGCCCTGGCCCAGACCCACACGGCACCAGCACACTGAGGCAGGCTGGCCCCGCTGTGCCATCCAGGCTGGCAGTGCCAAGGGCAGCAGGGAGCTGCCCCCCTTCCCCGGAGAGGCACGTGCGGTGCCGGGGCGCCCACAGCACGCTGCACGGCACGGGTTGGAAAAATAATAACAACCACCCACAGACTGGCAATTGCTAAGCAATTCACTGCTGTTTTTAGGGCGATAACCCATCATCCGCCCGATACAAATAACTGACTCAGAGCTGAAAGGGAGTTTCAGATTGCTCTCCTGCACGCAGCACCGGAGCAACCCCCATGCTCTCCCAGGGGTTTATTCCCTGGGGAAAAAAGGGCCTCCAGAGGAGAGGCTGGGACCAAGGGACCAGCTTCGCATAAGATGAAGCGGCCACAGTAAAGCTCCTCCAGGCAGAGGACCTGCACCTCCAAGTCACTGCCAAGTTGCCCATCTCACACCCAGACCCCGCCACCACCAAAGCCCACAGCACACCAGCACCAAAGCCTCCGCTGCCGGCACTCAGCCCTGCTGCGTGGGATGAGGAGCTGTGGGACGGGGCCAGCAGCGCATGCTTGGGTCTACAAACCTGCTGGGGTGAAATATAAGGTGTCATTAAAGACAGCTTGCTGTCCCCACTGCCATCACCAGCCCCCTGCATGGTTTGGGAGCCACCACCAAACCTGAAGCCACACTAACACCCTCCCATGGCCACGGGCACATGGCTGGAGGGGAGCGAGGAGAAGCCACAGCATTGCTGGTGCGCAGGGTGAGACTCAGCCCCATCCCCTCCAAAGAGGGGCAGAGGAGACAGTCCCACATCCTTCCCAGGTGCAGCAGGGCCAGAAGGTCCACCAGCCTGCCCTGCCAGGACTGGGCTCCACTGCTTGTGATACCACCAGACCCTCATTTCCAGAGGTGGCCTGCATCCCACCCCAGCCTGTTGGACCTGGCCTGACCACCCTGCAAACACTGCCCAGATCAGGCAGCAGCAACACAGGCCGGGAGCCTTCCCCAGCTGGCCCCAAACCCACCCCTGTGGCTAGCAGAGGCTGGATGCAGCAGCAGGAATCAGGTGATAAATGGGTGAATCCAGGGCAAAGCACCTATCACAGCTGCCCACAGGGAAAGACTCAGGTTCTTGGGGTGCTCCTAGGTCCCTCAGGTAAGCTAGAAAGTGAGAGGGGCCAGAAACATCCCCAAATCTGAGACCTGTAATGGAGACGGAGCGACATCCAGAGGGGCAGTGAGGGAAACCTCCCCAGAGCAGTCAGAGCCCCAGGCAGCAGAAGCCATGGGCAGCAGGAGCCCCACAGCTCAGAGAGCTAAAATGGACAGCACTGAGGGGTCCACCCACCCCACATGGCCCCCAGGACAGACCCAGCCCCACTGCCGGGTGTGAGGACAGGCCAGTATGGAAGCAGTACCACGCTCATCCCCCAGGTCCCAGCTCCCACCTTGACAAGGAAGCTGCCATCCTTCTCCTGCATCACCATCACCACCGAGTCGTGGAGCTTCTCGTCGAAGTGCACGTGGCCGTGGGTCCCCTCGGCGGGTTGGCTGGGGGCGAAGCGCACACCCCCTCCCTTTGCCTTGGTGCCTGTGCAGGGAAGAGAGGACAGAACCCAAGCATCACCCTCTGCCCGCCTGGGATGCACCCCCTTCATCCCCAGCTCTGTGTCCCCCCACAACCCCCAGGGAAGGACTGGGGCTGGAGCACGGAGGGGCTTCCCCAGTTTCCCCCCTCTCCTTTCAGAAAAGCCCTGTGCCACAGGCTGGGGAGGGAGCACATGGACACTGGTGACCAGTGGCCACAGAGAGCTCACCCTCCAAGCAGGGGGGGAACACGTGGATCAGCGGATGCTCAGAGACTTCGAGCATCCCATCCATTCCCCAGGCTTAGCAGCATTTCCTTGCTCCCATGATTTTCTCAGGGCAGAGGAGTGGGACAAGCAGAGACATGGACTGTGGCAGGAAGGGGGCACAGGTGGGAAGAAGACCAGGGAGAAGGAAAGCTTCCCCAGGGAAGGGCTCCCACACATCCCAGGGTGCTGGGCAGGGATCTCTGGGGATGCAAAGCTGGCCACCATGTTGGGGAGCAAATCTTACAGTGCCCTGGGGAAACCCAAAAATGCAATGGCACCTGCCTGGGGACACCAAGGTCCCCATGGCCAGCAGGAGCCCACACAAAGGCACAAACAGTTTGTGCCCTTTTGCTTGCACCTTTGCAATACAACCTCTGTGAGCTTCCAAGAAATAAAAGAAATAAAAAAGCCTCTTCTTTCCCCCCTCCTCCTCCCCACTACACCCCAAGAAACCCCCGGTCCGACTGCCGATTGCATCCATCTGGCAGCAGCCGGGAGCAGATTGCCGCCTCCTTAAAGAAAAGGCTCTTTGTGCTTTGGCAGGCTGGAAACGCCAGAGATTTAATAACTCGGCATTGTTCAGCCGGAACAGCTCGGCAGAAATCCCTTCCCCGCACGCAGGGGAAAACAAGAGACTCGGCCGCTTGCAGAGCGATGCAGCTGCACGTGGCTGCAGTGGGGAGAGGGACACGGACGGAACCCTCCCCGCTGAAACGCAGGCAGCCCCCAGCCCCCCGTGACAGGGAACAGCCACCCTCTGCCCCACAGAGCCTTTATGAGTGCCACAGGGCAAGATAAGCCGAGGGATCTGTGTGGATCCCATAAGCCGGCTGGAAGCTGCAGCTAATGGGCAAGGCTACAGCAAGTTGTTGCCACTGGGCATCCCAATGCCAGCACCAGGCTTGGAGGACCCAAACCCTTACACCTGCCACGAGACCAGCAGGGAAAATCCCAACTATGTGTCTTCATCACAAGGCGCTTGGAGACAGTGCAGCTGATGCCCGGCACATAGCCCGGGAAGCCTGTTGGCCCCAGAGGGATAAGCGTCTCCAGAGGGCACCCAGCCACTGTCCACCCTGGCAGCCCCTGGCACAGTGTCTGAAGACCCCTGGGAGAAAGGGAGGTCAGAGGAAGGGGAAGGTGGCAGCCAGGCACCATGGGCAGCTGTCCCAGGAACCATCTGTCCCAGGAATCGGGTCACCCGCCAGCAGGCACCCCGGTGACCTTGAGAAGCTGCACTGCGCGGTGCCCCTGTCCCGGCTCAGGAGGGGCAGACGGGGATGGTCCTTGCCCTGGCAGAGCCTGGACGGATGATGGTGGCACCTCTGCAGCCCTGGGCATGAGGGGCAGGGTGGAAGGGGCAAGAGCACCCACCCACGCAGGACTCGCCGTGAGTCAGCCAGCATGGAAATCTCATTAGGGGGTAAAATGCAATTGTGCATCCTACAAACACCCAGCAGCAAAGGGAGGCACAGACAGGGGCTCCATCAGGCAGGAGCTGGGCAGAGAAATCACTCGGAGCTGGTGTGCTTTATCCTGAGTCCCCACGTCCTACCACAGTCATAGCAAGAGGGCCACCGGGACCTGCCAGACCCCACGCAGGCAGCGTGCTGGCAGCCAGTCTGGTGGGTCTGGGGTCCAACCCACCCCTTCTACAGAGAGGGGGGCCACCTGCCTCGCACGTGTCAACAGCGATCACAAGCTCTGGAAGTAGACACCACCTTCAGAGTCACCACATCACCCCCAAAACACGGGTACCCCAAAACGCACCCAGAGAAGCAGGGCTGGGAGCAGGGAAGCACAGAGAACCCCCAGCATGCTGCTCCCTGCAGGGACTCACAGCCCCTCTCCCCCACGCTGCCTGTCCTTTAGCAACACCCCCGAGGGACTGCTCCCCTGGCCCTTGTCCTGCCAGGGAGCTGGAGGAGGCTTCACCGCCGACAGGAGGAAAGCCACCAGGATGGAGCCATCCAGCGGGGGGGAAGAAGCTGCGGAGGCCAGAGCCGTGACCGGGCACACAAAGGGAGATGAAATCACGCCCAGCAGCAGCACAAAGAGTCTCTTCGGTCTTTGTCTCGATGCGGTGGAGAGCCGGGCACTGCCGCCACAGGGCACCCCGCAACAGCAGCCTTTTGGGGGTCCCCTCCCAGCACCAACAAAGTGCCCAGCTCCCCGAGCCCAGCACTGCCAGAGCCTTTTGGGGAAGCAGCCAGGGTCTGGCAGAGGCCAGGAGCACCCCAGGAGCACCCAGCACCCATTGCCTCCCAGAGCAGCCCTGCCTGGGACAGGGAGTGCCAGGGGTTGTGCCCATCACTGGAGGGGGCATCACAGCTGAGCGATGCCAGCAGCTCCCCCCCGGAGCCCCGAGCCTGCCACAAACCCTCTCAGCGGGCGCTCACTTGCAACTCGCAGCAGAAAAACAGCAGCAACGCCTCTCCCGGTCCCCCACAGCCTCCAACCTGCTCACCCGCTCCCCGGGTACCGAGCGGGCAGCCCTCGCACCCATGGCTGCAGGCAGAGGGACCACCAACAGGGCACGGGGCAGAGGGGCTTCACCGGGAAGGAGCATCGAACTTGGAGACGGGCCCTGGGCTGGGGCAGGCAGCCGGGGAGGGGGTGAGGGGCAGGCAGGGGGACGCCAGGGACACTCACCCTTGCTAGCCATAGCCATGTGTCCCCGCAGCCGTCGTCCTTGCGCGAAACTTCAAAGGCATGGGCAGGAGGCCATCCTCCGGGGCTGCCGCCGCTCCCGAGCGCCGGAGCTGGGGAGGGAAGGGGCAGGATTAGGCAGCGGGCAGGCAGAGCCGGGGAGGGCAGCGGCCACCCCAAGCCGGGTCCCAGGGCCAGCCAAGCACCACAGACGTGACGGCACCGCACGGCTGCGTCTCCGGCACTGCTCCGGCACAGACCTGCCGGGGAGGAGCCTGCCTGCAGCTCGGGGGCGTCAGGCAGCCCAGCTTTGGGCAGCCGCGGGCAGCACGCCAGGGCCTGTGCCCAGCTCTACCCCCATCACACAGGCAGGGCAGGAGCAGTGGCAGGACGGGCAGCTCCTCTGCCTGTGCCACCACCACCCGGCCAGCTCCAGCTCCTGCTCTGCCAGCCCTTGGGGATGCTCCAGCCCCTGCCTGGGAAAGGGAGGATCCACACCCCGGCACAACCATCACATCTCCCAGCATCAACTAGAGGGCACCCCGTGCCTCAGTTTCCCCATTCCTCCCTTCCCTCCTCCGCAAGGGCTCTGGCGGCCACCACACCAAGCCCTAAGCTGGGGAAAGCCTTGCAGGCTGTCAGCAAACTCAGAAACCCCAAACCTGTTTCCCTGGGCCTGCCAGCACAGCTCCCATGGGAAGAGTCACTCTCTCCAGCCCAGCTGATGCTGCCTCTCCAAGGCTGAGCTCCCCTGACAGCCCTGAAGGACAATGGGGAGCCCCCATCAGCACCCCCAGCCCCAGGGTGAGCACTGGCCCATGCAGGAAGGCAGGAGGAGCCATTGGAACCAGACTGGGAGCAACGGGGCTCACATACACCCCCTCCCACCTGGGGGTTTGGGACCCGACACCCCCAAAGATCCCTTCAATGGAAGCTGAAGCTAAAACCTCCTCCCTGGGGTCACCCAGCCCCACTGCCCCTCGGGAAGCCATGGAAGACTAAACACAGGCTGGTAACACCACCAAGCACCCGAGGAATCCAGCAGTAGGACGCAGGTGCCCAAAACAGCGCAGTCAGCAGTCCAGCCTGATAAGCACAAGGAAATTCATGTAAAAAATATTAACAGCGTCAGCTGGGGGAAAATATGACTTTTAAAAGCATAGCTGAAAGGTGGGGAGGTTCTCCAGCAGCTGGGGGCTTGGGTGGACAGCAGACCCTCACCATGGCCCCCATGCCCCACAGTGACAAAGACAAGATGATCCAGTCTTAAAAAGAGCCAGGAGGGAAAAGCCCAGGATTTGGGGAAAGCTCAAGAGGTGCACCGGGACACAGAAACTGTCCATGGGCAGCAAGGGGCGGGAGGAGACCTCAGGACAGGACACAGCTCCACGGGAGGGGGTTGACACGGGGAAAGCAGCCCCAGAACAGGGGCAAAGCATGTGGCCGGTAGGGGAGGGCCTGGGCACCAGGGTGGGCATCACACCTAGGCTCACAGCGGGGGTGAAGGTAGGACCCACGGGCTCTCCGTGCCCTTGAGGCTGCAGCCCCGGGGTCGTGGGCACTCCACGGACCCACCGTCAGTCCCACGCCCCCAGCTCCTCGGACAGGGGGTCCCCAGCGCTCTGCCCCTTCCCGGGGCTCCCCGAGCCCGGGGGTGAGAGGCAGGGAGGAGGCGGCAGCGCTGACGCACGCCTCCCCGCCCGAACCGCACCGGATGGCCCCAATCTGCCTCCGACATCACCCGCGCGGACCCGGTCCCCGTCACGCGTGGGTGTGGGTATCCCCTCCGCCCCGTGCTTTCACCCCCCGCCAGCTCATCCCCGGGGCTGCAAGAGGGAACCGGGAGGATGCGCCCCCGGTGTTCTCCTCTGCGCAATGGGCCAGCGGAGCGGCCCGGGAGAGCATCCCGCCCCAGCCCACCGGCACCGGGGATTCGGAAACCTCCACCGAGCCGGTTATGCCGCGAGAGAACAACGAGGAGAGGAGCCCCCGCCGCCCCGGGGAGGGGGAAGCCCCGGGGAGGGGGAAGCCCCGGGGACCCCCGTCTCCAGCCCCCCCCCGTCTCCAGCCCCCCTCCCCCCCCCCCCCCCCCCCCCCCCCCCCCCCCCCC